CACACCACGATCAAATTGTTTTCTAACTTCTTTTAATTTGCAGGTTGTCTTACTAGTAAACGGTTGTTATGGCAACTGGAATGTCAGAATGCCTTGCAATGTTTCGTGGCGCCGTAAGTGTGATAATCCAGAATCAATTTTTATTAACTATAGGTAAAATCAATCATACTCCCGCAACAATATTTTATTATTTAATAATTATAATTTGGTTTTATAAACCACACTTAAATCGATGCTGAAATGAGCTAAAAACTTTACTGGGCCGGATGTATAAAAGCCGGGTAGTGATTTTTCAGCCGTTCTAAAAAAGCTTGAAGAGCAATAAAATTTAAGCCTTGAAGCAACAATTGTTGAAGAGGATCCTCGATTTAGGAAAATATAGGATTTAACCAAAGTTATACCGACAACGGGCGATTTCAGAGCTTTTAATGTAGTTATATGTTGAAATTCTTTTAAGGATTTTCGGTACGTCTGGCAACTTAGCAAAGACAACACCATGCATGCATGAGGCATTTTGTGGCACATAAATTGGGCAGGAAGCGCTCGAATAAAAGGTCTAGAGGCTCTAATTAACCTAAGTGTTTCCTGTGCATGTTGCTCAGTTAGTTGAGACCTGATAATCTAGGGACCCCATTAGCTATACTGAGACAAATGCACTTCACGTGGTGAGGTGTTGTCCAGAAATACAGCACTTCCTGCCATTGTTTAATCATTGCAATTCATTCAAAGTCACAAGAAGAATATCGATAGACTATCTAGAGATAACATATGAATGAACATAACGTATCAGTATATTTACATGCGGATGCCACAGCGGCCAGTCCTTCGTTTAGGGAGGTGGATGGAGTTTATTTTTGTAGTTTTTGTTATTAAAATTATTTTAAATGCAGATATACGTATATTGCTGCCTTTCGAAAAAAGACCTTTAAATATTTGACCGGCGTTGTGGTTGCATTGGCTGAGGTCTTGAGAATGACCAATGCACGCCTGCATGGGGAGCAGCCAAAATCCTAGCAGAAAAGAGGGCTATATATTGTTCTTGTCCACGTGAAGGGAAGACCGTCAAGGGAGATTCAATTGGCCGTAACACAAGTTTGCATACGTTGTTCGCATGCTAAGATGCCAGAGTTCTGTCAGATTTTGGACTTTATAACTATTGACATCGCTGGTAAAAACAGCCTTGTTCTATTGAGGCCTTGACCTTTGCCCAAGCTAAAATTAGTGCATGCGATAACTACAGCTAGACCAGAGACGGTCCATATGTAGGGTGAAATAGGACCTTCTAGAACATATTAATTTTACAATTTGCGTATAAAATTTTTATTTTAAAAAAACACAATCCGTTGGTGCGCTATCCGGCTTTCATACAACCGGCCCAAGGTGCGTGAAAACAATAAGATCCTGTCGTCTTAAAGCAAATTTGACAGCACGTGACATATGATATGTTATCATGGAGTAACACTACACTTCCAAATAGAACCGCATCAGCAAACAAAGCGTTAAAAATTGATCGCAGTCTAAATTTAGGTTATTTACGAGCCTATATGACATTTCACTTGAGAATTTGCCATAAAAACTTTGAAGATTACAGTCTTCGCCCCTGTTGTTTGAAGAGATTTAATATTTGTACACGGAAGTAGCCTCGCCGACTTGTCTCAATTATAATAATTTTATCACATATATACGTCATTCAAGTGTAAATAAAAAATCCCCACCCGGAAATCATGCCCAGTTATAGAGAGAGAACTATTGCGGTAGACGCTTACAACGGTTGAAAAGTAAGTCTACAACATATTGTATACGTAGACTCAACTTGGCTGAAAAGGGTTGTACTTGCGGAGTTGTTGTGAAGTTTATTAGCCTGGCTATATCGGTGAAGATATTAACTGATAAACGGGAACTAAATGGTTTTGATGTACGCCATGCGCCGTTGTATTGATGGCAGTTGTACTGTACTGATTCTTGCAACGATCTTCAATTCAAGGATTGCAGGTAACACCACGTAGTTTTTCTTGTATACTGTGTTTTCTGAAAGCTTTATGCACGCAAGAACAGTATAAAAAGTACGCTTCCTGTTTCTGGCTTTGAAGGTATCGTTGCATGCTCGGCGTTCGTACCCTAAAATTTGACCCTACAATAGACGACTGGTGCTTAAGACTTATTTTTTACCCCGGTAATAAAAAAGGAAATTTTCTGAAAGAGGTTACTAAAATTAGTAAATGCAAAGTTGGCTGAGAATTTCTGGAAATCACGGAAAATATAGTTATGCGATGTTTACGAATTTTGTATACTTTTGTATCATACGGCCGGAAGCTGGTTACTAAATTAGTTTAGAAATTCAATTGTTCAAAGATGTAAATAAACTGCATGATACATTCGCTTTGTCTTACATTTTTCCTTTGGAATTTGCGTTTATATATATAGTTATATTAAATCTTCAATCCTGTGCAAACTACGACGTGTCAACGCGCCCATACACGACCACATCATGGCCCACATCATCTTGTTAAACGGCGAAATAGCAGCGATATTATTAAAATAGGACCAGAATCTACATGTATTAAATATATTCTTACCCCAATTCAATCTAAACTTAATCGCACAACATGAAAAGAACGGTTTATTAGTTCCTCTTCGAGGAATTGCTGTATCATGCTAGCGAAATCGAATCGCGCATCGGAAAATTAGCCAAAGCTGTGCACCACAACTCTTAGGAGAAAAGACTGGGACGTAGATAAATACGGTCACATACACGTTTCAAATACTAGTTTATTTCGCGCCATTACAGACTTGCGACGATGAAAAATAAAAAAAAACAAGATGCCAGTTCTGGCGTTAACTCCGGCGCGTCTTTAATATGGAGCTTCTGCCTTCCAGGATTTATTCACGGCAAATCAGAAATAATTAAAGAAATATAAAGAATTTTACTAATAAAATACAAATTATTTTACATACTATTACTTCGCCGTCAAATCTCGCTCCTGTTGTTCTGAAATGTCAAAGTTTGTTAAATCCTCGTACGAATTCGTCAATGTAGCCCAGTTCGCTACACCCTCGCAGGACAATTTGTTACTGTTTAGTTTTTCCATGCGGTAGTTAGCTACGATATGTATAAAGTATACTAGGATTTAAATTTAATTGCATGTGTTTTATACTTTTAAATTTAGTCTATATGCATAAATTGTTGACATTGTAACTAGTTTAGACCCAACATTTATTATTAAATCCCGGCGTTTTCATCAATATACACGTAAAGTAAATATGACGATGTAGTCAATTTAGAAAAACCACATACATTGATCACGCCCATTTTATAGTTCAGAAATATCAGTTATGCTGACGCAAGCAAAAATTTTACATTAGCAAATCGCACGCTTGCAAACGTTTCCTAGTTACCAGTTTTAACTCGTCTTAAACTCACTATGCGCATAACTTGCAAAAACGCAAAACCTTCATGACATAATCACGGAAAACTTTGATTTCGTATCGGGCGTAATTAAAATCTCAGGTCGTAAAAGCTGCTGCCTTCGGAAAAGAAAAACTTTGATTCAAATGGATGGTCTACGATTTTGAAGCATTTTTGGAGCAAGTATTTTGTTGTCGATTTTTGTACACTTTTGTATTACGGCCGGAAGTTTGTATCTAAATTAGAGTTGTTTTCCACTTACGCGTTTTGATACGCACGTACACGCACGTAAAAGTCCAAATCCTTATACATGTTACTTTTGAAAAAACTGAGTGAATAAATCGAAGGGACTTAGCTTTCCGCATATTTTAGTGTGCATTAGTTGCCATAGATGTTAAATAATAAAATTTAAAAGCATTTAAATTTTCTGTACGTGTAAGTGCTTATAAAAAACGCGTAAGTGGAAAACAGCCTTTAGGCTACGTTTACACTACTCCGTATCGGTCTGAAAACGGTGCAAAAAAGTATCAAAACGGAGTTGCGTTTACACATCACCGGACCGGATGTAGCTATGAACCTTGTGTTCGTTTCAGCGTTTGCATAATTACATACGTATTAGTATATTCCATGTATTATATATTCCTTCCCCCACAAAATAATTCAGTTTATGTTCCATATAACAGCCAATTTTATCGAAAGAGAGCCAGTTCATACTTGTCGACAATTACGTATACACTCTAACCAGCTGCTATCATATGCAAACCGTGTTACAAACCGTGTTACATTAGTTACAAACTTCCGGCCGTAATACAAACGCATACAAAAATCAACAACTTCTCATTCCTTGTTTCAAAGATTCCGGCTTTTCTCGTTCCTTGTTTTAAAGATTCCGACTTTTTTCGTTCCTTGTTTTAAAGACTCCGGCTTTTCTCGTTCCTTGTTTTAAAGATTTCGGGTTTTCTCGTTCCTGGTTTTAAATATTCTGGCTTTTCTTGTTCCTTGTTTTAAAGACTCCGGCTTTTCTCATTCTTTTTTTTAAAGATTCCGACTTTTCTCGTTCCTTGTTTTAAAGAATCCGGGTTTTCTTGTTCCTTGTTTTAAAGATTCCGGCTTTTCTCATTCCTTTTTTAAAGATTCTTCATACGCATGATTTTGCCAAAAATTTTTTTTCTATTTAAGTACTTATTAGTACTTTTACCTGTCTAGAATTGCAGGGAAATCATGCAATACAGTCATGTTTCTATATTTACTTAACTTGTAGTTCAACATCGTTTTCAAGACAGCGTTAGCAACAGGTAAAAGTAGTTTTTTTTCCTACTTAAAATTTACTGTAGATGCATGCTGTTGCATTAACGTAAACGAAACGGCCAGTTTTATAGAAAGAGAGCTAGTTTATACTTGTTGACAATTACATACTCTATAACCTTCTGCGATCATGTGCAAACAATGTTAAAATTAAGTCAGAGCTATCATGTCCCATGAAAAATATTTAAAGATCGTTTGTTGTTTAGAACATGTATTCCTGTCGAAGCTGAGCCGATACTCAATTCAAGTTCGTGTTACCCTTTGGTAAATTTTACTCGGTCTTATTGTGAAAATCATGGTATCTTGTTACCAAAGTACGTCTATAGAGCTCCGTATTATCAAGCTCGTGAAAACGACCATATGAATACGTTTGAAGATGATTTAAAAAGGCTGGGCAACTCAAAAATAATGCTTTATTTTAATATGAATATCAACGAAATACGCAAATGTATTTACGTCCTTAGTACAATTAGCTGTCATTTTCATTTTCCGATTTGTGACCGAACGCAAAGCGACTATCAAGAGCAAAAAGTTTGCCGCGAATCGTACCATAATGCTAAACACTTATGCCATGAAATAGTGGAAGTAACTGTAACATTTGCGATAATTCGCTTTCCGGAAAGGAAGAAACTGGCCCGGGGGGAGCTACAACCATACAGGAATGCTGGTGAATCTCCAGAATGCTGGTACGAAGATTTTGAAAACTTAACAGGTAATTTATGTTATGCATTGCACGTGGTTATAAAGTGATTTGATTATTTACGTAAATTGTAAAACGTACTACGAAGTTTTATGGAGGAGTAAAGTAAGAAAAAAATGAATTTTTCCTTTAAAACTTTTATCTTTCTCCTTTTTCTTTCTTTTGTTCAATTGAACCAAAATATTTTTCCGGAAGATTTTGCTCTAATCAGAAGCTAATAAAAGCCTAAATGTTACAAACCGTGTTTTAAAAATGAAAAAAGGCTGTGGATAATTCCTTTCTCATATGCAAAGCTTAAAACCCGATTTTCAATTTTGAAAGATTTTTCACTTTTGGCCCTGTTATACGGTTCAATTTTTCTTGCAACTTGCAATGCAATTCAATTTAGTGGGATGTAAATTAGTGAAGTGTCAATTTGTTATGGTAAGAACGTTTATAGAGTGTAATCAAAATTAAAATTTGGTAATTTCCAAATTTACATCATTCAAAAGTAGAATTGCATTGAATTGTAAGAAGAATTGCACCGTGTAACAGGGCCTTTAAAATTTAAACATTTTCAGCCCAGAGCAAAGTTTTGCTTACTCAAAGACCTCGACATGTATTCCCAATTTTCCTAAATTCCACATTGTATAGATACACCCAAAGAAGTTGAATCGACAGGCAATTTGGGTAAGTGTGAAAAAAATGTATGCAATTATTTTCATTTTACTTTACCAAATGGAACAGATATAATTTAATACTTGGTATCACAAACGTGGAAATTTCTGACTTCTTTATAGAAGTATACTATAAGCACAATACAACACAATATTAGCGGAATGTTGTTCCAAGAGCACTTCGGGTATATTATCTTCTACGCTGAATCATTAGTAAATTTCACTTTGTTCAAAGATGCCAGTTGCTTTAGCTTTTGAACGTGATAGTTTGCCAGCTCAGTTACTCGATCTCAAAAATTTCAATTTGAACACATTTTAACATTTGAACACATCTAAACCTAATAACTAATATTGCCTTAATCGAGATTGATTGACAGGCAGAACCAAGGAGGCGTTTATACTTTCATCATTGCTTAAAATGATAGAGATTTTTGGTGTTTATTGTTTGCTTGTTAAGAAACCTCATTATTAGCATGACAAAATTGCTGGTTGCTGATTGGTTAAGAGTGATACAGTTAAATATTTTCTGCAAAAATAAACAACATGGCGGATAGTTAAACAACTTTCTACATTCAAAAATCAAATTTAACAGTCCTAAGCCATCATAGGTATAATTACAGAAGGCGTAATTAAACACACGGGCAGCAGTTGAAATAATTCACTGAAAATGATAATAAACTCATTGTTAACATAAAATAACTGATTCCAATTTGATGTCATCTATTCCGGCTTATACAGTGGTGTTAGTATACTTCTTGTTGATCTGTACCGTTCAAGCGGCTTGTGCCCAATTGAACCTGAACATTTTTTCATATGTGTATCCTTTTACCCAGATTGCCTTTACTTAAACGGAAGCAATTACCATGGCAATATATCAGTGACAGCCTCCGGTGTTCCGTGTCAGTCATGGACGGAACAATGTCCACATCGTCATACCATGAACACCACATATCCCGAATTAAATAACGCTAAGAATTACTGTCGTAATCCCAAGAACTCAGGGCAGCGACCTTGGTGTTTTACTGCCGAGAGGAGCAAGAGATGGGAGTACTGTGATATCCCTAAGTGTACACCAGGTATCGTGGGGTTTATTTCACGTGTGTGAAGAAGTTCATCTTCGTTTCCCATGCACATGTGAAAGGTGAAAATATAGATGTGTTGTTTTCAATACACTTTTTTTTCAACGCATTAAACTTCCGAAAGAAGTAGCGGTATAACTATGTGTCACGTTTGTTTTGTTGGGGTATAAAAATTTGTTTGTATTCAAAACCAATATGTTAAATTATTTTGTTTAGTTGACGGTAATTATGGCAACCTCTCATTAATAAATAGTTGTAATGTAAGTTGCGGTGAAGGTTTTGAAACATGGCAACGAGTTTGCAACAATCCTGAGCCAAAGTTTCATGGAAAAAACTGTAGTAACATCGGAGAATCAGTCGTATACAGACCTTGTTTAGCTAAACCCTGCCCAGGTAAGGGAATTATTTTGTCAAAGCATGCCGAAATTAGCCGATGACATATAGTCGCAAAGGTGCTGTAAGAACCAACATAAGCGTAAACAGAATTTAGTCGGTTTTAGTTACGTTCGCAAACCAATATAGTTTTTATACAAGCTTCCAAAGTGAAAAAATGTACTTGTAATCAACATGTACGCGAGGAAATTACGAATAGCAATAGTTCAAGTCCCAGAATAGTTTTCAATTTCTCAGGCTGTATTTGCTGGCATTACGCCTCAAGTTTTTTCACTTTCGGGTAGAAATTACTTACACGTCCCATCCCACGTTCAAGTTGTTTACTAACTTTATAATACCTACAAGCTAATTTACTTATTGATGTCACCATGCAAACATACAAGAATATTATAACATTTTAATGTTGTTATTACTAGTGAGTGGCGGGTATGGCAACTGGAGTTTGAGTATTCCTTGCAATGTTTCTTGCGGTGAAGGAGTAGAAAAATGGCACCGTAGTTGTGATAATCCAGAACCAAAATACGGAGGCCGTAACTGCAGTGGGCTAGGAAACTCGGCTGAGTTAAGGAAATGTAGAAGAAAACGTTGTCTCAGTAAGGCTCAAACTAACTGCTAAATACTGCTAAAAAGTAATCTCATGATATTCTTTTGCCCTTCGGGCTTCTTCAACCTATTTCTACCTCACTATATAGTCATCTCTTTCAGTTCTAACTTTCAGTGCAGAAATCTACTTATTATTGACCCAGTGCTTACAGAATCGGGATTTCATCAGGAATAACATACATACATACATACATACACACATACATACACACATGCAATTTTTAATGAGACATTTAGCTGAATTAGAACTCGCGGCTGTTTGTGTTTTTTTCCAATTTTCACTTTGCAGTTGCTGGTATTCATGGCAACTGGACAAAGTCCTCCCCGTGCAGTGTCACGTGTGGTCAAGGTGTTGAAATATGGATGCGACTGTGTGATATACCCTCTGAAGAGTTTAGTGAGAATTGTAGTAAGCAGGGAGCAGCTTATCGGGTTCAAGTATGTGAGATGAAACATTGCTCAGGTAACCTTGACTCGGTCTTGTTACATCAGGGTGGATCGCGCAAAATTTTCAAAATGTTTCCAAATAGATTTTGCTTGTTTGTTATACAACTCTATTTTCTGCATTCTTTTTTTAAACAACTTCTTTGGTGTATTTACAGATGTTTTCGACAAAGAGACGATTTCTATCATCATTGCTATTGTTGCTTTTGTGTTTGTCGTCGTAGTTTTGGTTTTGATCATTCGAAAACGAAAACCCAAAGAAGGTAAAACATCTAATTTCTACTCAGTGACTAAATGTAGTTTGATCATACCTCTTCTATTTTTTAGCTAAAAGCATCGCCAGGAAAGGAATGTAGAACCCCCCCTCCATATACGGATGCCGCTAATGACGTCACAGTAAGTTGCCACGAGAACATAATGTGGGAATTCACGATAGTTCCACGTGAGCATGTGTTATGTATTAGCGGATAATGACGTCACACTAAATGATAACTACATATAGTAACTATAGTAACTACATAATAACTACACGATAGTTTCACGTGTGGACACGTGATATGAACACTGCATAATATTGTCATTATTGTGTATATAACCTTTGGGTGAATCGGTGCGAGGGATTGTAAATGAGACGGGGAGATGTTAAAGCGTCATCATGGTTCTTCGACATTGGTCTAAATTAGTCAAACTTGTCTACCAAAGGTCGCAAGACATGTTCGGCGAAAGATTCATAAACTCCCATTCGGAGTTCCGGAGCTGAGACGCTGTACCGCTAGCGACTTTACAAAATATCGTAGGCAATATAGAACTTCTCAAGGGACTCCAAATACCAAATATAAACGAAATCTTGGATGTTAGAGGAGATCGATCTCTTTTCTATATGCTCGACTCAATCGGACATGTGGAAATCACATAACCGAGGTAAATGCTCATCGGCATTGCGCAAAAGTTTAAGTTGAGGCATTGGGGCGCTGTTAGAAGATCAACGATAAAGACCTAAAAAACCCCAGTTCTTTTAAGAACCACCAAATCTAAAAATAATATGAATAAAATCGAGATAAACATATAAAATCTCCCAATCATAGCAAACAACACTACATTTACAATCCCTCGCACGGATTCACCTAAAAGTTATACACAATATTATGCTGTGTTCACATCACGTGAAACTATCGTGTACATTTCACTGAGCTATATAATAATTCCTGGAGGACCGGCTCTTGGCCAGAAAGTGAAGCAAAAAACATGGCGGATTTCGGCGTTTGCTGACGCCACTAACAGCTGGGAAATTTGTTGCGCATGCGCTAGTTCGGCTTGCGTGTACCCCACGAATATATTTCGCGCACTACACGGCGGACCTTTAAATATATAAACAAAAACATGGTAGCCAAACTTTTTTTTGGTATTTTGCTTGTTTTTAATGCCATCAAAAATAAAAAGGAATAAAAAGGAATAAATTTTGTGCCGTGTGTTGCAAATGCTGCAAAAAAAAATTAAATCCTGCAAGAAGTAGCCTTCCGCAAAGCACATTTTTGGAGAGTTGCTTTGGTCTTCGCTTGACGACGATGTACTGACACAGAGATTATATGCGAAATTACGCTTATGGGGGCAATTTATAATTAAAAACGATTTTGAAATTTTTCTTTCTACACCTCCAGGGAATTCAAAAGTACAATTAGAATTTTGGAGATTTCGGCTAATTTTCTTTTAATCTGGTCGAGTAGGGACCACGCGTAAATACAGAATGGGACGAAAAAAATCAAGGACATACTTTTAGAATATTTCTTGCTCGAGGGAACGTAACGGAGCTGACATACCGCGATACAAGGTGAAAATCTGTGTCCGTCTCCCTCCTGGATTTTATGAAAATATTTTCAGCTTTCCGTATATATTTTTCGTATTTCATTTTTGTTTTTTTTTTCTTCGGTTCAAAAAAATTGAACGAAGAAGTGGCTTCTTGCTCAAACGATGTGGGGAGGGTAATTTTTTCTCATTTAGCATTCAGGTAAGCCATTTTTATAATAATTTCGGGATTTTTTGTCTTTGGATTACATATTTATCACTAGTCTGACTACCAAAGCTTCTGAGCCATTATTACAATGATCTAAATCCATCAAAACGTATCGTATAAACAGCAAATATACTATCGTATTTTCGACCTTTGGTACACGAGCTAATTACAGTGCAATGTAAGTTATGCAACTTCTTGTTCAGGTCCACATTTCATTTTATGGCATTCAGGCATTGGAGTGGATTCATGACACCTCATTTCAGTCATTTGAGAAGAGTGACTACTTTCTCTTGACTTGAGTGGGCAAAAAATTGTGGGAATTAAATTCTTGGCAGTGTAAATCTTTTGAGTTTCATCTATGTTGTTTTTATGATATAGCAAGCATCTATGAAATAGGATTTGTGGAGTGTTTTTGTGCAAGCAGTAACTTACTTACATTTAATATGCCAATAGGTAAACCATTCCCCCAGTGAATGTATTAGTCTATTGATCCCCTCCCATCATCATTAACATGATGATGTGATGATAACATCATAACAATTAACATGATATGACTGACAAAGGTGCTCATTGGGTGCTGATACAAAGTAATACAATTTTGTGGCAAACAGTGTAAAATTGCAACTTCTGATAGTGGCTGTTAAAGCTTAGTTAATATATTATCTTTTCTGCCAATTTATCATGCAATTATCATGGCTTACAATTAATTTCTTAGCCTCTTGCACCTTGTGAATATATCTCGATGAGATCTCTATTTTCATTTTTCAGGATGAGCATGCCATGAATAATAAAGCAAGAGATGACTTGTCATGCAAATTGCTGGAACATTGAACTGAGATGAATACAGCACATTATACATGTTGTGATGAATGTGCATTGTTATTCTTAATTGCCATGTTAACTGATTTTCTTGTTCGCTTAATTGTGTTTTTATACCAATTGTTATATTTATCGAAGAAATAAATATAAACATGCATTGACTGAGCAGGGTGTCTTCAAGCTCCAGCCACTTTAATAGTTTTCTGTTTATGGTATCAACCTCCAAGAGGGCCATGTTTATTTGTTAGGCTAATCAGGAATAATGGAGCGTACGGAGGGATAAATATTACTCATTACAATGACCAGGGGTCCATGGATGCAATTAAAAATACTAAAAACTTTTATAGCCCTTTGAGGTACAAGCTAATGATTTTGCATTTTGCCTGAGCTTTGCCTTCTGTTTCTTTGGCTTATGATTTATGCACAGGTATAAAGTCCTGAAGACATCATCACATACTAATTGCATTCTTTCTGTATTAAATTCTTCAGTTCATGGTTTTATTGGTTTAGAAAATCAAATTGATGCCCATAAATTCCCAGTTGTCCTCAAAATATCTTATGATAGCGCCAAAACTGAATTCAAAGTTCAAAAATTTAAAAACTTCATTGTGATATTGGAATGCATAAATAACAAATATATAAATAAAATAAAGCAATAAACCCGAGAATAAACGTTTATATATAAAACCTTTCAGTTCGTGTCAGTATTAAAATCTTTAGTTTGTCCACATTTTTTCGACATTTTAATCTATATTTGTCCTCGCATTGGCAAAAAACAGCGTCTATGACTTGTATTCATTTTAAAATAAAAACTTTATTGGAGGCCAGGGTGAAAAATATATCAAAAAAACAAAAACTATTTCAAAAACAAAATTCGGCAAAAAATTCATATAAACCAGGGGGGAGAAATGTTATTTAGAAAATCCAGGATGGAGAATGCTGCTGTAGGGGGCTCAGAATTGAGCCTGGTCAGTGGTAAATACCATGGCGAAAAGGAACCAAGTGGCGTCAGCAGAGCTTCTGCGGTTGCGCAGAAGGGTGAAGTCCGCCATGTTTTTTGCTTCAAAAAGATGGCGGACAAAGTTACTGAAATGGGAGGAGCCGGTCCTCCAGGAATTATTATATAGCTCAGTGGTACATTTAGTGTCACGTCATTATACGCTAATACATCACGTACACTAGTTCACATGAAACTATCGCGTATTCCCACATGATGTTCACGTGGCAACCTACTGTGACGTCATTGGCGTTATCCCCTTCATCCGTATAGGGGTTAAATTAAATGGGAAACTGGCGATTAATAAACTGAAATTATCTTCAATAAATAACTTTGAAAAGTGCGAAAAGATTATTGTGCCGAATAGTAAGTAACGTTGGGGAGAGGGGGATGTGGAAACGGGGTAATCGTTCCGGAATCCTGGGCCAAAACAAAACTGAACTCGTGTACTTTTTCTCGGATACAAGGTACATGTAATTGTAATTTAATGTCCAGAATCCACTTATCAACGTAATTTTTAATCCTAAATCTGGCCATAACCCTTACCCAACTACTTATACAGAACGATTAGAATGAAGCGATATATTCGTGGATTCTGGACATGAAATTATTACAGAGCAGAAAGTGCTACTAAAAAACATATTTACAACAGCAGTAAGAGCTAACCCCAACTGAAAAACTATGAATACATATATTGTGTTTAACTAATAAGTTGGTTACTCTTACAGACTATAAGCTAACATTGAGTCAGGGGATTATTTACTCCTTGGTTTTCATTCAATTCTTAATTTCTGCAGTGGTTCGTATTATCCTCATAATATTCCGCGTTCCTGGTCTGGCGACGCCACTCTAATCACCAAACATAATGACAAACAGAGAATTAATAATATTTGTATGATGATATTAGCATTTTATATTCCTTATAAGAGTCTTCACATTCAGCAACTCCGGAAAACCGTCCTCCAGAGTACGGTAATCTAACACCTGGTGGAAATCCGATTCCACAACATTCGCGTGGTGTTGTGCTGTGGAGAAGAGATTATATCAACACGCATTCTTCGCAGAGCTCTTGGTATGACAGGCTCCAGCTATTTCCACCATTGGCTGTTGATTGGCTTCGAAACGCGTGGGGAAATGTTGATGAGTCTGGCCACCATGTTTATGACGTCCTGGGACGTCATGTCAGAAATGTCTTCGTTCCATACGACGATTTGTGCTTCGAAACAAATAGGGCACAAGGAGAAAATGCGACAGAGCTTTACGACACTCCGGAAAGACCCTCAGCTGTCATTTTGCCAATGGAAATTGCTAGTATTCCCACAACTGAGATTGCTTGATCATGTATCACAGGACATACATGACTCTCTTTCCTGCGTGTCTTATTTTAAATGTGGCCGATTAAACTTCGAAGAATTCACTTCGTTACAACAATTTCCAGTAATTTGTAAAGGGCGTTCGAAATTCAAAAGAAACGATAGCAGATCGTATTTGACAACTTTAGATGCCCCAGGCGGGTTTTGTGTGGGGTTAGAATTGTAGTAAACACTTATTTTAGACTTACATTATCTGATTGTTATTTTAAATCGTGTATTTACCGTATCAATTTAGATACTTTCATACTTTTAATGATCGATGTGATTGCGTCTGATTGTGAATGCTATTAGAATACTTTTAATATATAATAGAAACCCTAGTCTTATTATTATTAGCCCCTCAAATGCTCTTTTTTGCCCCCAGTGCACTGTTCTCACGATGCCAGTAATCAGGGCCATAGCTAGAAGCTTAATTAATTGGGGGGTGTTTATTCATATTTTCATCATTTCCGACTGATTTCTTTTGTAAGCTATTGTTCCGGGCCTGCTGTAGGTAAACATGAGTATTTGAATAACGCCCCCTCCCCCCCCAAATGAAGCGGTTTGGCTACGGCCCAGTGACAGTAATTATGTACTATAAACATCATAAACGGCTCAAAAATACTTTTTCACCAAACGGATATGGGAAACGCAAATATGTGCTACTAAAAGTCAGCGTCAATGTTTTGCTGAGATATGAAGCTTTACATAAACATAAACAGTGGATTATTTACCTTATCGCAGCACATCTCTCATTTTGACGAGAACAATAGGCAAGAGATCTCGTCTTTTAATTAGCCTGAATATAATTATATAAAAATTCGTATGTTTCAGTTGTAGTAAAATCTCGGAATCATTTTGCTCTAAATCCTTGCCAATTTATAGTTTTCATGCATGAATGGCAATGTTTTCAACAGCAATACAGCATAGGTATAGTCGAGCTTCGAAAACCGAGCGGGATGACGTGCCTGGATCCATTTGTTTAACAACAAACATCAATTAAGATTATGCCCCTTTTATCTATGTACTGTGGCTTCCAAAACGTTAAATACACTAGCTCCCATATGTCATTAAGATATTTTGTTTTGTCATATAGCAAATTATAAACTCTCACATGGTTCAAATGCGTATACAGAGATTTACATCCTCCCAATAGTCTACAACAACTATTCTAGTACATTTCGAGCAAGGAGCGTCCGAAATAGGGAGCATAAAAAACATCAGACATGCATATGACCATGCATGCATATAACATTCTTGTTTTTTTAAAAGAGCGAAATTGTATTAAACTTGTGGAAAGCCACTGTATGTATTTCTCATAATATCATTCATGTGTCAATGTTTTGCCTGCGCCATCTCTTCCCGGTTCTGTGAAATTCTCGTTTTATACGCTGCTGCACAGTATTTTGGAAAAGAAAAACGCACGGGAATATTGAGAAATCGACGTCAACGCGCCGATATGCTATAATCCGTTAATTAATAATCACCAATTAATAGCACGATTGCAGTGCAAAGGAGCCACAACAGACACTACCTAATATCTTATTTTCTATTAATAAATTTTGTTGAAATTTTGTGTATAAGCATTATGACTTATAACTACGAATATTCATGCTGAGCGCGATAGCATACATGCATGCCATATTTTTGGCATTGTAAGTTCGAAAGTCTTAGCATAATTGTAGGTTGTAATCAGTTGAGCCAATCAGCTATTGAAACGTAAGAATTACAAGATAAAAGCTAGGCAGTAAGCATTGCCTTTGCATAAATAGTTATTTAGTTCTACCCAGTGGTTCTACCTTCACAAACTACCAAACCACGACTACAGAAATAAGTTCTGGCGACGTTTTCAGTCGGGCTTTGGATCCATATCCACACTATGTAGGAAATATTCCACGCCGCATCAACTATGAATGTTGGCGAAATTATCAACACTGTTGGACATGGTTTGATTCTACTAATGATTTGTTGTTGTTCAAGTATTGCTGGTAAAGTCTTTTGAAATTCTATAACATTTCACATCGCTGTAGATTAAGTCATAAGCTATTTTCCACTTTTTTCTTACAGCTGATTACCAGCATCGAAGAAAAAACAGGTAAAATTATTTTGATATAATGTTGTTAGTCGTTCTGCAGTAACATCGATATCCTGATTACGTCAAATGAACCAGCTGTCTTTCCCAACCGCACGCACGTGTATACCACGCGGGGTTTGAAAGATGCGAATATTATCCTGAACTCTGTAAACGTTACCAGAATTTCTACTGGAAATTCGATGATATATGAAAGTTTAAACAAGGCCATAGCTAATTTAGGGATGTATATATTCGTAATTCGTCTTATGGCCGACTGATTTCTTTTCAAAGTGTTTGTTCCTACGATATGCAATCATAAACGTGTGAATATACACCCCTCCCACTGAGCGTTCAAGGCCAAAGTTGCTTAAAGGTCAATTCGAGCGTTCAAGGCCAGAATTGTATAAACTATAAAGGTCTATTTATACGAACCAATTTTGTTTGATCCAATTCACTCATGATGGATTGACTTGAAAGCCTATGGGCAACAAACCAACATAATCTAGCGTATATTACGGATCGTGATTCGTGAGAACAGACCTTAAGTCCCCATATAAATATCCATCCGGTTCATCTAAGCCATACGGCTGATAGCCGTAAGGCTAATACGTACGGGCTGGCAGCCGTAAAACGTACGTACGCTTGTACGGTCGCCCCAGACTTCATGATGTGCTCAAGATCTGCAGCGCGCGTTTACAAGGCCTGGGAATAGGCTGCAAGATCTGGGGATATCGGAAATGACGCACCTTCCCTAGCTACAGTAAACTAGCTATCAATAATAATAAATTGATCTGTAATTGTGCGCTGTTGTCTCCGGCATTTCTCCTTGTCTGGCCTCTGTTGTCTGGCTTGCTGTAAGGAAATTTTCACTGATATCCAGGTGAAATATCTGGAGGGAATTTTTTTGCAGAAAAAGAGCTCATTTGCGAAATATTTGCATCTAAAAATCGATAAATACATTTTGTTATTGAAATAACATTGCGCCACAACATACGAAAATATGCGGGCTTTTCCCCGAGATACTGAGACTGTTCACATGATACGCGTGCTATAAAGATGTACCTAGGAACCGGATGGAGACATCCCCCTCTCCCCCCAAAAATATAAGAATATAGAGAACAAATATAAACCACACTAGCTAGTGGTGTCCTTACAGCTTTGGCAGGCAATCCATCCCTAAAGGCCCTTTTATTAACCAAAACGGCCCCCGGAAGCTGGTCCCCCCATGGCCCCCCAAACTCTGGATACCTCCTACGCCCATGTATAGAATAGACCCTGTTTTGCGTGCAGCCTTTTACCACCAGGGACAAAGGGACAAAGTATCAACGAGCTTCACTCAACATAGCACAATCGTCCGGTGAAAAACTCAGATATCGCATTTATTTTGGAAAGATAGAGAGTTTGCACCATGAAATCATATTCACGGCTGGTAGCCGTATAACATACGTCCACTGTATGGTTTAATATGGTGTATGAATGGTGATATTAGAGCGTTTGCACATAAAACCATATTCACGGCTGGTAGCCGTATAACGTACGTCCCCTGTGTGGTATATGGTGGTTGAATGTTGATATTAGAGAGTTTGGACTATGAAATCGTATTCATGGCTGGCAGCCGTATAACGTACGTCCGCTGTATGGTATATGGTGGTTGAATGGTGATATTAGAGAGTTTGCACCATGAAATCATTTTCACGGCTGGTAGCCGTATAACGTACGTCCTCTCTATAGTATATGGAGTAGACACCGCAGAAATTGGTGTTTAAGACGTTTCAACCCGAAAATCTAATCGCTGGTTCACAATTGTGCATTTCTGTATCGCCCTATCAAAGAGAAACCTTTTGAATATCTTAAAAAAGTTCAATTTTTCTTCTGAATACGCATTCTGCAATCTTTTGACAGCTCATCATACACATCTGACCGCTGTGAAATGGCCATTTTGAGGCTTAAAGTATACACAAGGTTATTAATTCAGACGATTCGTTTTTACCGTGAGCAAGCTTCAAATCTTTTGTGCAAGACATATTTTCTTGAATATTTATAAATCTTTTTCTCACCAAGTTTAAAGTCTAAGTATCGAGAATTGCGGCTAAGCCTATACCAATTTCCGCGGTGTCTATGGAGTATGAATGGTGATATTAGAGAGTTTCCACCATGAAATCATATTTACAGCTGCTAGCCGTATAACATACGTCCTCTCTATGGTATATGGAGTATGAATGGTAATATTAGACAGTTTGCAGCCTGAAATCATATTCACGGCTGGCAGTCGAATAAGGTACGTCCGCTGTATGGTATATGGTGGTTGAATGTTGATATTAGAGAGTTTGAACATGAAATCATATTCAAGGCCGGTAGTCGTATAACGTACGTCCTCTGTATGGTATATGTAATATGAAGGGTAATATTAGACAGTTTGCACCATGAAAATCACATTCACAGCTGGTAGCCTTATAACGTACGTCCGTTGTACCGTATATGGTGGTTGAATGTCGATGATAGAGAGTTTTCACATGAAATCATATTCAAGGCCGGTAGCCGTATAACGTACGTCCTCTGTATGGTATATGGAGTATGAATGGTGATATTAGAGAGTTTGCACCAACGTATCTCCGCTGTATGGTATATAGTGCCTCATTTTATTTAAACCAAAGGTGATGGTGGTAAACACTCATGGTGTGGATGGGAAAAAATTTTACCATTCATATTCCATATACCATGCAGCGTACGCACGTTATACGGCTACCAGCCGTTAATATGATTTCATGGTGAAAACTCTCTAATATCACCATTCATATACCATATACCACACAGCGGACGTAGGTTATACAGCTACCAGCCGTGAATATCATTTCATGGTGCAAACTCTCTAATATCACCATTCATACTCCATATACCATACACCAGACTTACGTTATACGGCTGCCAGCCGTTAATATGATTTCATGGTGCAAACTCTCTAATATCAAAATTCAACCACCATATACCATACAGCGGACGTACGTTATTCGGCTACCAGCCGTGAATATGATTTCATGGTGCAAACTCTCTAATATCACCATTCATACTCCATACTGCATATACTACTATACAACGGACGTACATTATGAGGCCACCAACCGTGAATATGATTTCATGGTGCTAACTCTCTAATATCATCATTCAACCACCATATACCATACAGCGGGCGTACGTTATAAGGCTACCAGCCGTGAATATGATTTCATGGTGCAAACTTTCTAATATCACCATTCAACCACCATATACCATAAAGCGGACGTACGTCATACGGCTACCAGCCGTTAATATGATTTCATGGTGCAAACTTTCTAATATCAAAATGCAACCACTATATACCATACAGCGGACGTACGTTATTCGGCTACCAGCCGTGAATATGATTTCATGGTGCAAACTCTCTAATATCACCATTCATACTCCATATACCATACAGCGGACGTACGTCATACGGCTACCAGCCGTTAATATGATTTCATGGTGCAAACTCTCTAATATCACCATTCAACCACCATATACCATACAGCGGACGTACGTCATACAGCTACCAGCCGTGAATATGATTTCATGGTGCAAACTCTATAATATCATCATCAACCACCATATACCATACAGCGGGCGTACGTTATAAGGCTACCAGCCGTAAATATGATTTCCTGGTGCAAACTTTCTAATATCACCATTCAACCACTATATACCATACAGCGGACGTACGTCATACGGCTACCAGCCGTTAATATGATTTCATGGTGCAAACTCTCTAATATCACCATTCAACAACCATATACCATACAGCGGACGTACGTTATTCTGCTACCAGCCGTGAATATGATTTCATGGTGCAAACTCCCTAATATCACCATTCATACTCCATATACTACTATACAACGGACGTACGTTATGAGGCCACCAGCCGTGAATATGATTTCATGGTGCAAACTCTCTAATATCATCATTCAACCACCTTATACCATACAGCGGGCGCACGTTATAAGGCTACCAGCCGTGAATATGATTTCATGGTGCAAACTCTAATATCACGATTCATACTCCATATACCATACAATGGACATACGTTATAAGGCCACCGGCCGTGAATATGATTTCATGGTGCAAACTCTCTAATATCATCATTCCACCACCATATACTACAGCAGACGTACGTTATTCGGCTGCCAGCCGTGAATATGATTTCATGGTGCAAACTCTCTAATATCACCATTCATACTCCATATACCATAGAGGGGACGTACGTTATACGGCTACCAGCTGTGAATATGATTTCATGGTGCAAACTCTCTAATATCACCATTCATACTCCATATACCATAGAGAGGACGTACGTTATACGGCTACCAGCCGTGAATATGATTTCATGGTGCAAACTTTCTAAAATCAATATTCATACATCATTTATCATACAACGGACGTACGTTATTCGGCTACCAGCCGTGAATATGATTTCATTTTGCAAACTCTTTAATATCAACATTCATACACTATATACCATACAGCGGACGTACGTTATATGGCTGCCAGCCGTGAATATGATTTCATGATGCAAACTGTCTATCAGCATTCATACAATATGTACCATACAACGGACGTACGTTATGAGGCCATTAGCCATTAATATGATTTCATGGTGCAAACTCTCTAATATCATCATTCAACCACCATATACCATACAGCGGGCGTACGTTATAAGACTAGCCGTGAATATGATTTCCTGGTGCAAACTTTCTAATATCACCATTCAACCACTATATAGCACATACGGCTACCAGCCGTTAATATGATTTCATGGTGCAAACTCTCTAATATCACCATTCAACCACCATATACCATACAGCGGACGTACGTTATTCGGCTACCAGCCGTGAATATGATTTCATGGTGCAAACTCTCTAATATCACCATTCATACTCCATATACTACTATACAACGGACGTACGTTATGAGGCCACCAGCCGTGAATATGATTTCACGGTGCAAACTCTCTAATATCATCATTCAACCACCATATACCATACAGCGGGCGTACGTTATAAGGCTACCAGCCGTGAATATGATTTCATGGTGTAAACTCTCTAATATCACGATTCATACTCCATATACCATACAATGGACATACGTTATAAGGCCACCGGCCGTGAATATGATTTCATGGTGCAAACTCTCTAATATCATCATTCCACCACCATATACTATACAGCGGACGTACGTTATTCGGCTGCCAGCCGTGAATATGATTTCATGGTGCAAACTCTCTAATATCACCATTCATACTCCATATACCATAGAGAGGACGTACGTTATACGGCTACCAGCCGTGAATATGATTTCATGGTGCAAATTTTCTAAAATCAATATTCATACATCATTCAGTATCATACAACGGACGTACGTTATATGGCTGCCAGCTGTGAATATGATTTCATGGTGCAGACTTTCTAATATCACCATTCAACAACTATATATCATACAGCGGACGTACGTTATAAGGCTACCAGCCGTGAATATGATTTCATTTTGCAAACTCTTTAATATCAACATTCTTACACTATATACCATACAGCGGACGTACGTTATATGGCTGCCAGCCGTGAATATGATTTCATGGTGCAAACTGTCTATCAGCATTCATACACCATGTACTATACAATATAGGTATATGTTATAGTCTTATAGAGCTTCATGCAGTGTTTTAAATGTTATAGTTATAATATTAATGGTTTTGTGTTATGGTTGCAATAAAGGCTTTGTCAAGAACAATATCGACAACAATACACCACCACTACACACCCAATGGTTTATTTATTACGTATATTTTTCATAACAGAAAGGATAGGATTAAAGAAATATGACATTATTTGAAAATTCCTCTTTGCTTGTATCTTCAAACTGCAATAGCTGAACAATCTGAGGAAGATTGCACGACTGCACACTCTACACTACAATCACTAAGAATGCCTGTGGATAAAAATCAAAATCATTAAATTACTTCTCAACATTTATTGACATATATATGTCAAGAACTTATATATACATGCAAGTACCATACCTTTTATTTTGCATATGCATGGTTCTTGCATGACGAAGTATGTATGCTACAAATGTCTCTACTTCCGTGGTCAGTTCTATAGTGAACATTTCTGTTCTCATATCATCCTAAGCCTTTTTGTTTTCTCTGGGCTTTTTGATAAGGAGTTGTGCCATCAACTTCACTGATCCTCTCATCTAATCCTTCATCTTCTATTTCACAAGATATAATTTGCTCATGTATCTCATCATCATTACCTTCTTGTAAAAACCTTGTAGGCTGGGCAACCTTCTCCATTTCTGTGAGACCATCATGATGATGAATGACTACAGGAACAGAAGGCAACTTTTTTACACATATCAGCAAATATTACTATTAATGGTACATATTTGACATAATATTATGACCTACAGTTTCTGCAGTCCTTACCTAGAAATCATTGCAAAGTTGCATAATTCATATAAACCATTGATATAAAGAAACCAAAATAAATATGTACCCCATACTAGTTATATCATCAAGCCAGATGCCTAACAAAATTGCCTTCCTTTGAAAAATTAAAGAAAAATACCACAATAAAACTGTTAAAACTGTTATAAGAGTAAACTTTTTCCAATTGACTGACTCATAGCCCAAAGAAACATTATTAGAATCTTGTAGTTGCAAAAGATGGCGTCGTTTATTCCAGAATTAAATTCATAACAAATAAAAATATTCGCATTTTCCAGCAGAATCTCATGTACTTCTAAAGTTCAGTATCTTACTTCTTCATTCTTTAAAGTTATAAACTTAATTTTTCGTTTAACTTCAGATTTAGGTAAAGAATTTCTGTAGAAACTATAATTATTGGCAGAACTCAGCGTACAAACGTACGTACGTTACACGGCAAACAGCCCGTCCGTTTGGGGTGTTTTTTACTGGCTAATAGCCGTATGGAAAGAGACGAAACGGGTGAAATATCAACTGGAACTGGGGTCAGGCAATGAGGGGGGGGGGCAAAGTTGCAGATACGCTCTTTCATTTTGAGGGATTCATTCCCAAATGTTAAGTAAATTGCCACTTCCGAGTTTCAAGAATGGCACAGGAAGCTTCTATAGTATGCGCCGAAACAGAAGTGCCGTATCACGAAACAGAAGTGCCGTATTCTTATTTTTACACACACTTTTCAAGCATGAGTAAATTCATTAAATCAATTCTATCAAACTTCTCTTATATCAAAGTCTTATTGAATTGCAGATTTCGCGTAGTCTTAAAATACGACTGGCAATCAAGAAATATTTTATTTCGCCAGACGACAGGGGAAATATGTGATGCTGTCAGCTATTGCTCTTTTGTTATAGAACTTGTATTCCTGCCGAAGCTGAGCCAACACTCAACTCAAGTTCCTGTTTTCCTTTGGTGAATTTCACTCGGCCTTTTTGTAAAAATCACGGAATCATTTTATCAAACTACGTTTTTCGAACTCCTTCTCGACAAAATACGAAAAACAACGAACTAAACCGAGTCCAAGACACTCTCGAGAGGCTTGGGGAGTTAAAAATAAGTCTTTATTCGAAGATTAGCGTTACCAAAGTGCGAATATGCATTCCAATCCTAAATATATACCTTTGTCATTTATTTTTTCCGAGTTGTGACAGAACGCAAAGTGTTTATAAAGAGAAGGCAGCTTGTCGTGAAACACGCGTTAACGTGTACCACTTATGTGACTATGTAAGCATCAGGGAGACTTTTAAAAAGTATTTTTCAATTCGGTGGTCGGGTGCGACACCAGAAAGAAAAAAATTCATACTTGGAGATCTACAACCAGTCCGAAATGCGGGTGACTCGCCAGAATGCTGGTACACTGAATTCAGAAACACAACAGGTAGAATTGACACATCTGTAAATCATTTTCTTATGTTTAAATTAATTCTATGCTGCATGATAGAAAGCAAGTCCTATGAGCTGACTCAAAAATGCTTTATCCCCTGAAAAAAATTACCCACTGAGGTGCATTTTAAGAAAATTCAAGATTTTTGACGCATTGTGACGTTTATTGCTTGGGCAACCTAACGATAATTTCACTCCCAGAACCTATATCTTTTTGTGCGGCGTGATTACATGTTTTGTCAGTACTGTGAGGCAGTTACTAGCATTTTCTCAATGTAATATTCCAGATAGACTCACAATAGTAGGAACAAGTGCAAATATAGGTAAGTGTTGATTTATGTTCAAGCTGCTACACGAATCAATCAAGTAACAAACTCTGCGTGAATGTATTTTTAATTTCAATTATCAATCTTATTATATACTGGATGCAAATAGGATTTAGAAACATTCACAAATGAATCTTTTTGTACTCTGAAGCCACACAACATCCATGCCTGTTATATTATGCGGCATTTTCTAAAAATAGGAAATGCCAAATAGCATAGTTACTGAAATCTTCTTAGCTTAATATAGCGCTAATGATGACATGATAGATCAGTATGCTAGTGTCAGTTCTCCTCAGTGACTATAGTTTTAAGAATATCGTTTCGTTCTAAAGAGGAAAAAATGACACACAGTAAACACGGTTACTTAAGTTTATTGTCTACAGCTGCTATATCGCTTTTCCACACAGATTGTCACAAGCAGCTACAATGGTAACATATCAGTGACATCTTCGGGTATTCCATGCCAATCATGGACAGAACAATGTCCACATCGTCATACCATGAACACCACATATCCAGAATTAAATAACGCCAAGAATACTGTCGTAATCCCAAGAACTCAGGACAACGGCCTTGGTGTTTTACTACAGATAGGAACAAAAGATGGGAGTACTGTGAGATTCCTAAATGTACACCAGGTGATGCAGGTTTATTTCAGATGTTTGAAGAACTTCTTTTTCGTTTTCTATGCACTTTCGGTACAGACATTCTTTGTAATTTTGGGCGTTGCCTTATAAGCCACGTAAGAAAACGAAAACATAATAATCAGTGGGAAAACGAGGCAGCCCGTAGGGCGAGTTTTTCTACGTTATGTCGAGCTCTCCAAAACTCTACAAGTGTTTCTATAATTGTGTATAAATATAGAAAAAATCTTTCTTTCTTTTATAACGCAAAAAAATTTTTCTACGTCCCTTGTTTCTGTACAGCTTTAGTATAAATTTCGAGGTGACTATTCATTTTCATCCGTTCTGATTGACTAAGATTCACTGTCTCTGAAATGATAGTCACTGGTCGGCTACTCGTTGTTTTTCAAATAAGCAATTTGAAATAATCATAATTTTTTTATGAAATTGTGTTGTTGTTATTTGTAAACACCTGGAAATTTATACTAAAACAATTAGTCGCCTTGTGAAATTCATGAATAATTAATGAGTCTATCTTGCAATCATTGCGCAGCATTTTGGTCACATGTATACATTTATTTATTTATTTATTTATTTATTTATTATGCTTTGCCATTTGAATACAACATACAATATTACAAACACGAACAGCACAAAATCAATACAAATGCATGAATATTCACAATAATCGAGGCAGGGTATTGCTACAGCTCACGCCAATTACAGCAGCCCTTTCAAAACAAATAAAACAGACATCATACAATCTCCACACAATATATAGTTCACACTTAGGAAAATCTTCCTCGTGATAGGAGCAGTATAGAATTGTACTCCGAGAGTAAAATGACTGCTCACATCCCACAGGAAGATCCACCTTTAAGGAAATTTACGTGTAACAATGCTGGACATAACGAACACAAGGACACACATTTGAATTAATAGCAGCATGAGTTAGAATTAGACAAATTACGGGACGCGTTACAAGACAAACAAACAGACTTCCAAGTTCTAGGATTTTCGGCGTCATATATATTCAAGGCCGAATGGTAATAGTTATAAAGATCGTTTTTGAATCGACAAAGGCTTATGTTCTTCGTTGTCAGCCCTTTTGGAGAACATTCCATACTCTTGCGCACCTAGAAAAGAATGACTTCTGGAATGTTACAGTCTTGCACTTTGGTGTGATGAACGTCAAGCACGCGGGGTTGGCTGATCGTGTTGATCTCTCCCGGTTCTGAATTGATGGTAGAACACTATCTTTAACTTTTATCATCCATTGATGCATTTAAAGTAGAACACTAGATCCAAAAATTCGTGCCAATAGCAGAGTGGAATAAGGTCTAACATTTCGAGTCGCCTACTGTAGGTAATGTCGCAGATAAATGGTAGATCCAAGATATACTTGCTCGCGCGCCTCTGAATTCTCTCCGTCCGTTTAATCAGTTCCACAGTTTGTGGCGCCCAGACTTGAGATGCATAGCATAGCTTTGAACGTACAAGAGACAAATATAGAGTACGACGAACCAAGATAGATTTTATATCCAGTGTAGACCTCCTAACGTATCCGAGCATTCTCGTTGATTGAGCACATTGGTATTCAACATGTTTGGACCAAGTCAAATTGGAAGAAGTCCATACTCCTAAATCACGCTCTTGATCGGTGCTTTCTAGGACGGTATCATGTAGTTTGTAGGGATATTCTATTTTCTGATGTTTTCGGGTTATTCGCAAAACTTTACATTTTTTAGCGTTAATATCAGGTTAACGTTACTAGAAAGTTCTTTAAAATTTGTTAGATCGTCTTGAAGCGAGGATGCATCACACATATTGTCGACTGTTCTGAAAATCTTTGTGTCGTCTGCAAAGGTTGCAATGCTAGATTTGTCCACGCTTTCCGACAGGTGGTTTTCGTACAAGAGAAACAGTAGTGGACCGAGAATCGAGCCTTGTGGGACTCCAGATGTCACCGGTAATGGTCTTGATATTGCTCCACCAATTGCTGTCTGTTGATAACGATTGTTGAGATAAGATGAAAACCAGTTTAGAATGTTACCTCGAAACCCGAACTCGCGCAATCGGTGCAAGAGCTGATCGTGACTTACTTTATCGAATGCCTTCGACATGTCCAAGTAGATTACGTCTATTTGCTTACCATGGTCTAATTTACGGCCTATCTCTTCGAATACTTCAATTAGTTGGGTCACGCATGACTTTCGTCGGACAAAACCGTGTTGACAAGGGTTGATTTGTTGAAAAACGTGATGTTCGATGTTGTGGAACACGCAACGTTCGAGGACTTTGGAGACAAGAGGAAGCAACGAAATTGGACGGTAGTTTTCTAAGTACGATTTTTCATCGCGTTTAAATACAGGCACGACATTTGCTAACTTCCACTCGTCAGGAAGGACACCACAACGTAGGGATTTGTTGAAGAGTGCGCATAGTGAAGCAGTGATTTGGAATGAGGTTTCCGTCAACAATCGTGCTCGGATTCCGTCCGGACCTTGAGCTTTATTGTTATTCAACTTAGTTAACACCGTTGACACCTCGTCGTTAGTCAGAGTAATGTCTTCGAGAATAATGTCCGGTTCCGGATGCTGTTCTGGATTGAAGTCGTTGGCGGTGTCGCTAGTGAAGATCGATGCGAAGTATTCGTTAAAAGTGTTTGCAATCTCAGCGTTATTATCGAAATACATTCTTTGATTTTCGCTAGTTTTGACCGAGACTTTTAATGGAATATTGGAAACTTTCGACTTAATCTTGAAAAACGACCAGAAACGTTTTGGATTGTACTCTCGAGAAGAACATATGGAGTTGATATAGTCCAAGCGACCATCACGCAACATTCTTTTGATTGTCGTGCGGAGCTCTCGAAAGCTTTTCTTGAGGTGATCACTTGGATGGCAGGATCTTTTAATCCTTTTCTAATGGAGTTTTTCTTTTGATGTAATGAAGTATCGTGCTGTTCATCCAAGGGAGATGGTTTCGATCTCGGAGTGTTTTTGTTGGCACAAATTTCGATACCGCTTCCAAAAACGCATTTTTCCACGCCATCCAATCCTGGTTGATATCGCCATTCTCTGATATGTGATGACTGAGATCGAGGGTTTGAAGATGCCTTCGAAGACCATCGAAGTCACTGCGTCGGTAATCAAACACCGTTCGTTTTAACTTAGGGAAAGGATTGTATGAGAGGAAGAGATCGAAAATGATAGCATTGTGGTCGGTGGAAATGTCTGAATCACTTGGTTTCAAGACTTCGATTATCTTCACACGGTCGGGATCAGTGGTAATAACAAGATCGAGAATGTTTTCGCCTCTGGTAGGAGATCTATTCATTTGTTCCAAGAAAAAGTCGTTTAATAATTTGTAATTCTCCATAAAGGTCTCATGAATTGTTAATTAATATATTAACTTTGATACAACCAATCTTAATTAGTATTCATAACTTTGTTACACACATGCCCTAATATGCATTAAGCTTTATTTATTCTTTTTACAAGCACGTTAAAATACTCATTCACTTCACCTTCGGCTAGTGAATATAGGCTTGTAAACACCTCCCCTTCGTCGACAAATTGTTAAATAGAAGCACACAGTACGCTTCTCGACCAATCAGTACGTGCGCACTATATATAAATGTTATATTAGAAAAGTAATTAGTGGGCGGGAGGAAGGGCTGCTTGCCTACCGTGCGGTGCCGATTTCAAACTACAGCTTCGGCTTGAATTACTGAGAAAAGGGGGAGGGGTGAAAAGTGCAACCAACAATGGATTTTATTAAGTTTATTTCATATAGGGCAAAAACTGTTCGTATTCAGCACCAGTACATTTATTACGTTGTTTAGTTGACGGTAATTATGGGAATTGGTCATTAAAAGATAAGTGTAATGTGAGTTGCGGCGAAGGTTTTGAAACATGGCAACGAGATTGTGACAAACCTAAGCCAAAGTTTGGCGGAAAATATTGCAGTGAAATCGGAGAGTCAGTTGAATACAGATCCTGTTTGGCTGAACCCTGTCCAGGTAAAGAAATATTATCTTGTTCAAGCATAACTAATATAAGCCGTTAGCATAGTCGACCCCAGAAAATTATCTTGTTTCTTTAACATTGACCAGCAGA